CATTTAAAGGGTTTTTACCCACATATTTTGGTGGCTACTAGCATGTACAACCGTTTGCACTGATGATGGATTGTTTAATCCGAAAACGTTTTGCAATGTGTTTGTGATAGCCCGTTTGAGGCAATTTTATATACCTTTTATAAAGGATTTTAACAAATTTTTTTGTGATATATGGTATACAGCCAGCTACAGGAACTTAGTTTCCTCGTGGAAAGTTAGCGAAGCAATATCTGCTGTAAACTCTGCATATAAGATCAGACTATCCTGACATTCAATTCCGCTGGCCACGGATCTGCTCAACATTTCACACGTAAGAAGATTAAAACGACCAGACCCTTTGGACCTCTAGTAAATCTGGAGAAACACAGCATTCTTCTTCTTGTAGTTCCTTCTCCTATCGGAGGTTGGCTATCATCACAGCTATCCGTACCTTATTGGCGGCTGCTCTAAAAAGATCTACTGAACTGCAACTATACCACTCTCCTAGGTTTCTCAGCCAGGAAATTCTTCGCCTTCCTATGGATCTTTTACCTCTGATTTTACTTTGCATTATGAGCATATTTCGCACTTCTGGTAATGTGGCCTAAATATTCCAGCTTTCTTGTTTTGATGTGCTTTATGACTTCGCAATCCTTTTGTAGCCTTCTTAACACTTCTGCATTTGTAACTTGTTGGGTCCATGGTATTTTTAAAATCCTTCTATAGCACCACATCTCAAATGATTCCAACTTCTTTATATTAACGACTTTTAGTGTCCAGCTTTCCATTCCATACAACAAAGTCGAGAACGTAGCATCTTAAGGCTCTTATCCTCAGATCCAGAGGAAGCTCTCGTTTGACAAACATTGTTTTTATTTTTCTTAATGCTTGTCTTCCAATTTCAATGCGTGTCCTTATTTCTCTACCTTGGTCATTGTTTTCATTTACCCAGGTTCCCAGATATTTGTAGTTATTCACTCTTTCTACTTGTTTTCCCTCGATATCTAGCCTTCCTACTGTATGTTGCTTTGAAATAATCATGAAATTGGTTTTCTTAACGTTCATTTGTAGTCCATATTTTATACTGACTTGATGTAATCTATTTACTAAACGTTGCAAGTTTCTAGATTGTCTGCAAAAACAGCAGTGTCATCTGCGAATCTTATGTTGTTTAAGATTTTTCCGTTTATTGATATACCCTGTTGTTCCTTTGATATTGCTTCCTTAAAAATAGCTTCGCTGTACAGATTGAATAAAACCGTAATTGAATATTAAAACGTAAAATAAATATAATCCAAGTATATGCACCCACTGAAGACAAGGATGAAGACACCATAGAGGCCTTCTATGAACAAATCGACAATGTCTTAAGACTAACTAAAAGACAAGATATAAATATTATAATGGGCGATTTGAATGCTAAAGTTGGCCAAGGAGAAGTGGAGAATGGCGTGGGGCGATATGGACTCGGGGAAAGAAATGACCGTGGCGATAGGCCTGTCGATTTCTGTGTCAATGAGGAACTCATAATTACAAATACCTTGTTCAAACTTCCTAAACGTAGACTATATACATGGAGCAAAATAGTCAGAAATCAAATAGATTATATTATCGTCAACAGAAGATATAGAAATTCTATAACATCATCTAAAACTTATCCACGAGCGGACATATCCTCCGACCACAACCCGGTTGTTTTGTCGATGAGAGTGAAACTAAAGAAGGTCAACAGCCCTAGCACCAAGAAAATCATAGATACAAGACGTCTCAAACAAGACAACACATATGTGGAAACCAAATTTAAAATAAACGAGAGCTTAAGGAAAGTCAAAGAAGATAATGCAGAAACTCTAACTATTGACCAAAAATGGGGAAAAAATTCAACATGCCCTCAAAATACAAACAGTAAATCTGTTTGTATTTTGAGAACCATTTCCGAAATGGAAATTGAAACGTCAATAAACGTATTTTTATCTTTAATTGTGGCTTATTCCCAGTTAAATAGTAATTAAACTTTGTTTGTTAAGTTGAAGTTTAAATTAATTATTATATCATAGATTAAATTTATAATATTATATGTCTTACTTGGGTGAGACTTGGTAACATTAAATTTAAAATGTCATGTTTTTCACTATTTAGAAGTAGTGAACAACTAATACCCTAAATTATAAAAAAAACCTGTAATAATGTGTAATAACTGTATAAAACTGCAATAAAGTGCTATTTGTCCATATATTATGTAAACTGTTTGGGTATTTTCTACCTGTAGTTGTCAACGTGTTATTTTGCTTTTGCAGTGGCTTACCACACACCGTGGCTTTGTAAAGCCACAATGTCCCCGCATGTTGAGCAACTAGGGTTGAAAATATCCGGAAATGTGTGCCCGGAATATTTTTCTGATGCAAAGTATATTAAAAAACCGAACGATCTCTGGGTAAATTTTAAAAGAGGGCTTTAGTCTCCATTTATAATATACTTTTATTAGGGTTACGGCAAAATAAATATCCTTGGATGTCATAAACGTAATAAAGTCATAAATAAATAGTAATAAATATGATTATGTTGTCATAAAAAGAAATTCAACTATTTATATGATGTTGCTTTTCTTAAAGTTAGATTATTTTGAAGATCAGATGCCTGATAAATTCAAAATTATTTATGGTAAAATTAATACTGTAAAATAGGACGAAATTTTTAATGGCAGCTAATCTGGAGTGTAGTTCGAGGTCACGTCAACTGTCCAAATCTATATATTTTTAAGTGGATATTGCATTTATTTCACTCAAAGAAAACAACGAGAAAAAGATATCCTGCAAGCAAGAACTGTAGAAAAAAGAGCACGCCGACAACAAGAATATCAAACAATAAATAAATCAGTTAAAGAAAAGCAAGAAGAGACAAAAGAAGGTGGGCCAAAGAACTGACAAAACAAGCAGAAACAGCTGCACAACACAACGGAACTAGGGAGCATTACCAAATTACTAGACGACTAACAAAAAATGAGTCCAACTGTTCGAACATTGTAAGATCCAAAACAGGCGAATTACTTACTACAACAGATGACCAAGTAGAGAGATGGAAAGAGCATTTTCAGGAGAGGCTAGGTATTCCCAGAGATAACGTAGATGAAATTGTCGAAAACCCGCAGAATATAGACTTGCATATTTCTTGCGAGGCCCCTTCCAAAACGGAGATAATAACAGCTATCAAATCTCTGAGAAACAACAAGTCACGGGGAATCGATAATATTGCTGCTGAAATACTTAAAGCTGATCCGCATCTAACTGCTGAACTTTTGCTCCCCATAATCCGAGAGGTGTGGGAAACAAACCACATTCCAGCGGGCTGGAAAAAAGGTAACATTATCAAGCTTCCAAAAAAAGGCAACCTCACACTGTGCAAAAATTGGAGAGGAATAACCTTGCTTACTGTCATAAATAAAATTTTCACGACCATCATACTGAAAAGATTAACAAACAAGGTTGAGTTGAGTTGAGAATCTTCCTGCATAGACCACATTAATACTGTGAGGGTAATAATGGAACAATCGGTTGAATGAAACACACCCCTATACATGGTTTTTGTTGATTTCGAACGTGGCTTTGACAGCTTGTCTCATGCTGCTGTATGGAAAATTTTAGAGCTAAGAAACATCCCGCAAAAAATAATTTCTATTATAAAGTCACTATATACTGATCTGAAATGCAGCGTGACACACAATGGGATCAACAGTGACGAATTCGACGTACTTACTGGAGTTAGACAGGGATGCGTGCTTTCTCCGTTTCTTTTTAACATAGCTATAGACTATGTTCTCTCCAAACTAGACTCCGACACAAGAGGGATACAATGGACGTTAACCACACGCCTAAGTGATCTAGAATACGCGGACGATATCTGCCTATTAGGTCAGAGGTTCCAAGATCTAGCTTACTAATTGGAAACACTTTCCACTGAAGCCAATAAAATAGGTTTGAAAATCAATATTAGTAAAACCAAGCCCATGAGAATAAATGTAAAGAACAACACGCTATTTACTATCGACAATATGCAGATTGAAAATGTGGAAAACTTTACGTATATTGGAAGTGTCATACCAGAAAACGGAGGTACAGAAGACGATATTCGTATGAGGATACGAAAAGCCCAACAAGCTTTCAGCACGCTCAACCCTGTTTGGAGATCTGGCGGGTATACTACAAAGACAAAGATCCGAATATTCCGATCAAATGTCATATCTGTTCTACTCTACGGATGTGAAACCTGGAAAATGACAAACACTCTCACAGACAAACTGCATGTCTTTGTTAACAAATATCTACGAAGAATTGTCCCTATATTCTGGCCTAACACCATCAGAAACGAAGATCTGCTACACCTGACCGAACAAAAGAGGGTACAAAATGAAATTAAGTCCAGAAAGTGGAGTTGGATCGGTCACACACTCCGAAAAAATAGTTCCAGTATCGCAAAGACTGCCCTAGAGTGGAATCCCCAAGGGAAAAGAAAAAGAGGTCGTCCAGTACAAACTTGGAGAAGATCCATCATGGACGAGATAAGAGGAGGCCAAGGAAAGTCTTGGAATGAGGTGAAGGCCTTAGCGCAAAATAGAACCCGATGGCGCGTTTTCACTGAAGCTTTATGCTCCACTTAGGAGTTCAAGAACCTTATATATAATACTGTAATCTGTAATAAATATCTATGGTTTCACATACAGACAATATATGTACGTGATATATTATAATAATATGTATTAAAATGTAGTACCATATTGCCAAAAATATAATCTAGTATTAATGTTTAATAATTTGTGTGTACCTATCTTTAACAATTTGATTTAAATCATAAGTATTTTTTGTAACGCCACTGCTTTGTTTGGTGAGGCTTTACTGTTCCTAGAAATTTCCGCCACTACAGTTGAAACATACTTTATTTCATACTATTTTGTGTATTACTAACACGTGATATTTAAATTTATAAGTTTCACTTACTGAGTTGGGAAAAAATTATTAAATACTTACACTTCTATGGCTTTGTTCCAGTTGATGATGTAACCGGAAAGATTGAAATTTTCTATCTGTACTACGTGAACGTTTCCTCTCTCCGTACCGACGTACAGCCATTTTGATTGCAGCGGCAGATGCATATACGTGATTCTGTAACAAAGTAAGCGACGAATAAAATCTTGCGAGAATCTTTTTAGGAAATACGGCGACAAGCAGATGACAATTTTACGCTCTAAATAAAACCCAAGGGATGCTTTGTAAAGTAGTCTCGTTTTTCTTATTTTTACTATTGTAACCTTTTTAATTTCAACATTGTAAGAGAGACGAGTAAAACGAGCTAAATTTCCTTTTATTAATTTGAGAAATGAAGATCACTAAAGCACAAAAACGTAAAGATAATAAAATTATTTCATTTATATTTAAAATATGCACAGAAAAAAACAACCACTCTGCTCTGTTCTGTGCACCTTGGATCCACTCTACTTTCACTCGTATCAAAACATATGTTCAGCGTGTAGCTGATTTTTATTTTATTTAGGTACTAGCTGATCCCTTAGACAATATGCTGTCTTAGTTATATGAATCCACGAGGAATCTACGTTCCTGTAATTGGCTGTATACCATATATTAAAAATTTTTTATTAAAAAACCTTTATAAAAGGTATACCTTTTATTTTATATTTATGTCATAGCCCATGAAATTAAGTAAAGAGTCATATATGTTACCTTAAGTTTACAATCTATGTAATTTAGCTTTCCATAATTGTTACAAATCTCCTTTTTCAAGATTTTCAGTTGAAAATATATACCTTTTATAAAGGTTCTTTAATAAAAAAATTTTAGTTATATGAGTTAAAAATAAATAGAATGTGGTCCGTTTCCAGAAACAAATATTATATGGCGTCAATTTCGACCTGCCAAACGCCTTGCAATATGGACACAAAACGTTCATTTGTCAATAGTAACGATTTGTTGTAAACTGTAATAATCCACATCATTTATTTATGTATCGTTTGGCATACAATATGAACACATAATTAAAAAACAATATAAAACGTTACATGAAGTATTACAAACGAACATATAATGTATTAATGATATAATGTAAAACATTTTCAGTTGCATTCACGAACTCATCGAAAACTCCAAGGAATCGCCTTTTGTGTCATTCTTCAACAATGTGACGGACAATTTGTCGTTTAGCACCACAGTCACGCTCAGGAGTAAGGGCTTTTTCCCATCGCTGCGTGTTCTTATTGTTTTTATCGTAGCTATGTATTGCGAGTCAGTTCAAAGCCTGGCGGTTTCTGATCGATACAGGCCATTTGATGTGCTTCCTGTGGTGAGTCGCTCTTCCATTGTCTTCTCCAAGCGGTGAGGTTCAAATGTTCCTGATGTAAGGAGTTGTCTCTTAGCAATGGAGAATATCTGCAGCGCAGTCTGTTTATTTCAATAATAAGCTTATCATGGTGGATGGATAGTTGATGGTTAGCCTTGATTTTTCGATATTTTATGATAAGAGAATGACTTCTTCGCAGTTTCGACGGTGGAATGTCACTCAAAATGAAACGCAAATAGTTCGTTGTAGGTCTAATTGTACCTGAGATCATTCGCATTGTCTGGTTTAATTGGGTGGCAATAATCTTCGTGTGTTTGCTATTGAGCCATACTATGGACTATATTATTTCGAGTTTTCAGTTTTGCTGCCGTTCTTCGTAGGTGTTCTTTAAAACTTAATGTTCTACCCAGAGACACTCCAAGTTATTTTGGTGTTGAATCATGAGCGAAGAGTCTGTTTCCAAAAGGAACGGAGAGTTTTTTTGTTGATTTAGGCATTATTTAGAGTGAAACTACACACTTCGGTATTTGTTGCATTGAGTCGTAGCCTCCATTTGCGAAAGTATTTTCCCATAACGGCAAGTTAATCCGTTAGTATTGTTTCATTAATATCCATGTAATTATGTCTTGCTGCAATGGCCCAGTCGCCAGCGTAGCTAAATTTTTGCGAAGTTGTGCCAGGTAAGTCAGCGATGTATAAATTAAACAGTAAGGCTGCCAAAACAGATTCCTAATGCAGTCCAGTGCTAAGCTTCATTTGGGCACTTTTAAAGTTGTCCATTGTGACTTGAAAATGTCTATTGGTGAGCATGCTATCAATGAGTTTAGTTACCTTTTAGTTTTAGTTGCAAAGAAAGCAACGTATGTTTTTTGCTTTCTTTGAAAACCTGCTTCAATACGTGTTGTTAGGGATAGGATCTGATCTGTGCAGCTGCAGTTAGGTCTGAACCCTGATTGCTCAATAGGTATAAATTTAAATATGTTTCTACTAAATCTGTTGTAGATTAAGCATTTTAATACTTTATAGACGCAGTTCAGCAGCGCAATCGATTGGTAGTTTTGGAGCTGATCATTTGCCTTTCCTGGTTTTAATATGGCTATAATGTAGACCGTTTTTAGTAAATGGGGGATTTCTCCTAATTTTCATGGCTAGATTATAGCCACGTTACAATTAAACGCTTCGATGCTGTTTAACTTAATTTGGCGCTTCGCGTTGCTCGTCAATTTAACTTCCTCGTACATGTCTTCTGCGAGTTGTATGACCCAAGTGTCCACATCTAATTGGTGACGTTCTTATCAAAATTCAAATGATTATTAAAACTTACGTCCTTTTCGGTATGTATACCATGTATACCATGTGTTAAGAAATCAAAAATGACCAAACATCGATATTAAATTACGATATTAAAAACTTTTAATATAGGGCGTAATTGCGATCCTTGTTAACTGTTGTTTATAATTTATTAGAAAAAAAAACTCTTCTTAAAATACTGACTAAACAAATTAAAAACTGGACAAATGTTCTGATTGAATGAACAAAACACTAAGCGTCTATTACATTTCTCTATGTTTCTCTAGAAATTAATATCGATAATTCTTTACATTAGCTCTGCAACACTTGCTGGTTTGGTTTTATTAATCCTAGTTTTCAAGTATCCCCACTAAAAATAATCTTAAAGATTCAAATCGGGTGAACAAGGAGGCCATTCAATACGACCCAATCTACTAAACCATCGTCCGAGAAATGTCTGATGTAAATAACGCCGAACATTTACACCAAAATAAGCTAGAGCAAAAGACGTATATAATTTAAAATCATTTCCCATTATACAGTCAGAACAACGGAATATTTGGTTAATTTTACATATATTACAATGTATTACATTATAATATATATTGGGCAAACCAGTCAACTGCTTCCCAAAATTCGTTCTCACATATATGACAAAACATTACTGCGCCCACAAAACATGAGAATGAGAAGAAGCATAAATTTGACTTTGAAAATATCCAAATTTTAAAAACCGAGATAGACAAAAAGAAGAGATACGATATAAGAATCAATAGAAATAAAAAGGTATACTAATGCAATCAATGACAAAAACGATACACATAACCTTAATAAAATATATTTCAATTTGATTAAAATAATAATAAATATATCACCAAATCATGAATGTGTTGCTTGTGTGAGTCCATTTCAAATAGGTAAAGAAATAATAAATAAGACTTACTCACAATCAATTTAATTTAACTATCAGACGACCGGTTTCGCTTTCTACAATATGCAAAGCATCTTCAGGTCTCGATACAAAGTTAAATAAATGCTGAAATGATAAAAACCCATATTAGGGTGTTGTCTAATAAAGATAAACAAAGTAGATGTTGGAAATTACAATCATTATGCCAATATTACATGTCTGTGGTTTTATTTCAAAAAGAGTAAGTTGAATAAAAAGGTATAAAAGTTTAAACAGACAAGGTAAGGCCCACAAATTGTCATAAAATAGTCTATTAGATTGTAATAAATTAATAAATGAGCAAATAAATAAACATTACTTACATGCCGGTACTCTATTAATTGATGGATGGTAGAACATGGTTGAAACTACTATGTATTGTTGAATGGAGAACTCAATTCTGCTATTGTAGTTGTATGACAGTAAACGGGAAGTTCTTGAGGAGATATATTTGATCCAATGAAGCAGAGATCCAATGAACCACCCGAAAGTGGAAAACAAAAATTACAAGTTAAAAATTGGAACCTGGAATGCAAAATCTCTCTATATGCCAGGAAAATCTCATAACATCGTGAAAGAAATGAAAAGAATGGGAGTCAACATTCTCGGAGTCAGTGAAGTTAGATGGCCTGGATCTGGACAGACAAACATCGATAACCATGTGATATACTATGCTGGTAACGACGATCCTCATCATTATAACGGAGTGGCATTTATAGTTGACCAGAAAAGCAGTAAATGTATAAAGAACTTTATACCTATATCTGATAGAGTAGCTATGCTGCAAATTAATACCACTCCTCGTAATATTAACCTTATTCAAGTGTATGCTCCTACAGCAGAAAAAACCAGAAAGAGAAGTACGAGAATTCTACCAAGAGATCAAGCAGCTAATGAAGATCACAAAGAAAAATGCTGTAAACATTATTATGGGAGATTTTAATGCCAAAGTAGGTGAAGGGCGGACCGAAGACGTAGTAGGAAACTTTGGTTTGGGCCAAAGAAATGATAGAGGAGAAATACTGGTCCAATTTTGCCAAGAAGAAAATCTAATGATCGCAAACACCTGGTTTAAACAACCCAAAAGAAGGTTATATACATGGAAAGCACCTGGCGATAATCGAAACCGCATAATAAGAAACCAGATTGACTATATATTAATTGAGAAACGTTATAGAAATGGAATCAAGGGAGTTAAAACATATCCCGGGGCGGACATCGGTTCCGACCACAATCCTGTTGTTGGTAAAATTTTAATTAGACTAAAAAAAATCAAATACAGAAAGAATATAAAACCTAACCTAGAAAAACTTAAAGACCCAATAGTACAGGCAGAAATAGAGAAAAAACTCAATGATACACTCAAAGAAAAGTTCAGTGAAACCCCCGCGGAAGCAGAAGAGACAATAGAAAGTATTTGGCACACCTTCAAAACAACGATGACAACTATACAAAGAGAACAACTACAAGACAGCACCAGAAAAACAAAGAATACATGGATGACAGAAGAAATCCTAGAACTGATGGACATAAGGCGATCTTACAAAAATCGTAATGTAGAAAAATATAAAG